ACTCTGCCTCTGGTGGCCCTGGAGCTTCCATTCTTTTTTTTTTTTTCCTTTTGTACTGTGAATTGAACTCGGGGCCTCACGCTTGCCAGGCAGGCGCGGTGCCGCTGAGCTACATGCCCGGCCCCGTTCTAGAGACCCAGGGGCAGAGCCACAGAAGGCAGGCGGCTGCCACACTTCCTGCAGGGGTGGGCACCCGCATTCCCCTGGTGTCGCCCAGCCCGTCCGCCAGCCTGTGAGAAAGGAACTCACGGCGGTGAAAGCACGCGTCTCCCCGAAGCAGCAACAGCCGTCTTCCTCCTCCTGTTCAGAAGATCCGGGTTTGCTCAGGGAGGCACAGGCCTATGCCAAGGGCTCGCCTCCGGGGTTCTCTCTCCGGCAGGGCTGGCTCTCCGCCCGGACGCTCCCCACATCACACAGGGGCCGCGCTTTTCCTGCGGGCCTGCACACCTCGCCTGGAGCCCCCGTGCCTCTGTGGGCGATCGCAGCCGGGCGGCAGAGCCCTGTGCTGCCTCTCTGCACAGCAGCGGTGAGCGCGCTCCTCCGGCGGGCGCTTCCCGGAGCCGCTGAGCCGGGACTGAACCCACCTCCACCGGGAGCCCGAATAAATTCCTCCCGCTCACTTTGTCCCGCTGAGAGCAAAGTGACGAAGCCAGCCAGCAACCTCCTGTAGAGCTCAGGCTGCCCTTGAACTCACTACACACCCCAGGCTGGCCTCCAACTCGGGACGGCTTTCCTGCCTCAGCCTCCTGAGTGTGCTGGGGTCACAGGCGTGTGCCTCTGTGAAGAAGGAAGCCACTCAGCTGAGGAGAGGTCTGGGAGCCAGGAGACCCCAACGCCGCCTGAACAGAGGCAGAAGAGCTGGGGTAGATGCGAGAGACGCTGAGATGACGCATGAATGTGCTTTTCCTGTGACCAGGACGGCGCTCAGAAAGCAGCCCCTCGTGGCAGGACTTGGACGTGGGTGATCCGTGAACGGCCCAGGCTTTATTTCTAGTAAACATGAAAGTTTCTTAGTGAGGTTGTTGCGTTAAGAAGACTCTTCCCTAAGAGGCTTGGGAAGCGCACACATGAAATCCCAGCACTCAGGAGGCTGAGGCGGGAGGATCGACCTGGGTTACATAGCGAGACCCTGTCTCGCCGTGCACAGTGCCACCCGGCGGGAAGCAGCCAGAGCAGGGACTGGAAGTGGAGAGACCTTCGACAAAAGGGAAGGGGGTGGGGGATGGAGGGAGGGCCAGGGAGGGAGAGGATGAAGGTGCGTTGTGTGCAGTGACCTCAAGTTACAACCAGCCTGATGTATGAGTGACTTGGGTTACAACCAGAAATTTTTTTTAAACCTACCACCAAAGCCGTGAGCTAGGACAGAATGTTGGCCACTTGTGCTTCCAGACGGTCTCAGGTACAGGTTTAACCCTTAAAGAGCTCTGGGAGGACCATGGCTGCATCCTCTTCCTGTGTGGGGCTCCCTGAGAAGCCCTGGGCCGGCGACTCTGTGAGGACGCGGAGATCTGCTGTGTGCAGGAGAGAGACTCTGAAGGCTGTGGAGAGGAGCCTGAGCCTTCACTGACTTGAGTTAAAACCAGCCCTGGAGGCTGAACTGCGTTCGTCGAGGGCCCACTGCACATGGCCAGATCCCCCAGGCAGCGACCGTATGTACTGCAAGCCCGGACTCCGGGTGGTAATGCGACCGTCGTTCTCTCCCCCGTGGGAGGCGGCTGGGGCAGATGAGTCTGTATTACGTCTCCCCCAGCACTAGTGGAAGAGGAAGTCGCTCCAGGGTTCTCCAGGTGGAAGACATTTCCGGCCCTCTGTTGCTGGGGGTCCTCGAGCCTGAACCCAGGACCTGCACACGGAGCCACTCCCCGCGTCACTGCCGTTTTGAGACAGGATCTTGCTAAGTTGCCCAGGCAGGGCTTCAATTTGCAACCCTCCTGCCTCAGCCTCCCAGAGTGAATGTACCGCTAGGCCTGGCTGATTTACATATTCTTGTGAAGAAAAAACGTTTAGAGCCCGTGTAAAATTTCCTTTGCTTACTTAAATTTTCTCTCTAGGTGATTCAGGCTGGCCTTGAACCCCCAGCGATCCTCCTGCCTCAGCTTCCCGAGCACTGGGATTGCAGGTGCGCGCCAGTACGCTTGACTGGTTTTTTTTTTTCCTGAGAACCAGAGCGCTGTTGAAGAACTTCCTCACCGCCCCCAGGCTCAGTAAGAACTTGCCGGAAGTGTGGCTGCCCAGAGCGTGTGCAAGCCCTTTGTGAACGGGAAAGCAGCTGCTTTCTGTGAGTCTCCATCCCTAAGGGAAAAGGCGGAAGATGCCTCTAATCTGGCTGTGTCCCGCGTTTGTCTCACAATCAAAGGCCTTGGTCCCAGCAGCTTTCCAGTCGGCGGCAGGCCGGGAAGGGCGGCGCGGTGCTGCAGACTCGGTTTCCCTTTCTGCGGTCCCCCAGCGCCCCCTGCCGTCCGCTCCTGCAAACTGCCGGCTTGGAGACTCGGACCCCTTCAGACTCCGGAGAAACCTCCCTTCCCTCCCTCTATCCCTTGGTCCCTGCCCTTTTGCAAAAGATCTGTGTCTTCTTATCCGTCTCTTATTTTGCCCTGACGTTTGTTCGTCTTAGCTAAGCAGTCGTTGCGAAGCATGAAGTAAAGCTCATGTGCCGGCGCACCCGCCGTCATCCCGGCACTCTGGGAGGCTGAGCCAGGAGGATCGCAGATTCAAGGCCAGCCTGGGCAACTTAGTGACGTAATGAGGCCCTCTCTCATATTTTTTTAGTATGTTAAAAGGCTGGAGATGTAACTCAGTGTGAAGGCCCTGAGTTCAATTCCTGGCATAGAAAACAAAAAAGGTGGAAGTTAATTGCACCACATGAGGGCGCCTCCCTCCCTGGACTGGGGGTCCCATGGGTCCCAGAGCAACTCGTGACACTCAGGAACTGCTGGGTCCGTGCTTCAGACCACAGCTGTGCTGACGTGGCAGACAGCACAGAGGATCCCTGGCTCCTCACCCCCATTCCTCCCTTGAACTCACAGCGACCCTCCTGCCTCAGCCTCCCGAGTGCTGGGGTGACAGGTGTGCAACACGCCCGGCTCCAGGTGACCAAATTCTAGCTCTGGGGACAACTTTTGGTTTGTGCAGCTAAGGGACAAAGTCAGCCACTTGGACCCTTGTGTATGTCTCTCCCTGCCACACGGGAGGGTTTTCCCAGCCAGCTGTGCCATCCTGACCTCGGGCGGGGTTTGCTGAGTCTGTTTCTGGTGGGACGGACGCGTGTCTGCACGCACACAGGCCTAGGTGCGGCGGGGAAAGCCAGGGAGGTTGGCACACGGCCACTGGAGGCCTGGATGTGGATTCCTCACCAAGCTGAAACTGGAGCCAGCCCTTCCGCTGCTGGTGTCTTCTCCGGAGCCTAAGCCATTCTGTCACAGTGGTGCACACAGACCCGTGCTTACAGCAGCACAGCTCACAGTGGTTTAATCTTGCTGGGCGTGGTGGTGCACACCTCTGATCCAGCACTCAGGAGGCTGAGGCAGGAGGATCGCTGTGAGTTCGAGGCCGGCCTGAGCTACACAGTAGTTCACGGCCAGGCCAAACTACATCGTGAGACCCTGTCTCAAAACAAAAAGAGGACACAAAACAAACCAAGAAAAAAGAGGCAGCGCCTAAGGACAGCACAGTTGCCGTGTCCTAACCTACAACGCTGGAGAATTTTTCCCTCAAGCCAGGGACTTGTTAAAGAATTGCTACCATGGACTCCGGGGAGAGCAGGACAGGCCTGAAACAAAAAGCGAATGAAACAAGGACAACCTCTGGCCTGCGGGAGGCGATGTCTGCAGGACACACTGCGACATCGATAAACAGAGGCCCTAGACTGTCCGGACCATCGGCTGCACGCGTGGCTCAAGTTCAAAGGAAAACGCTCGGAATGTTCGTGCTCCATCATCTTTTTATAAAAATCCGATTAAAGAGTGGATGCGCGTAAGGAGCGAAATGTGTAACTGAGTAGAGGAAAGCGATATAGCATTGCATTTCACAGTACTCCTTTTTATTTCTCTGGTACTGGCATTCGAACTCAGGACCTTGCACTTCCCAGTTAGGCAGGGGCGCCACGGAGCTAAATCCCCAGCCCCCACAGAATTCCCGTTTACGTTCTTTGATTTTTTTTTTTTTTTTTTT